ACATGGAGAGTCGACATGCACTAAAGTACGGCAACAAAGGTTTTGAAGAAGCTCTCTTTGTTTGAACCAAACTATTCTCTTAACCTAATTAGAGAATCATAGCTCAGTAGTAATCTGTCACTATTGTAGCAAACGAAGCTCAGTAGTAATCTGTCATTATTGTAGCAAACGAGATCACTACGTCAATCAATGACATGAAAGAAAATTTGACATCAAGAAGTTAGATGATGATAGATGTTCAAAGTTACTCAAACATTATGTTAATATAATAGAATATTTTTCATTTGATACTCTAGAACAGAGAGTCATGACACTTATGAGTTTTTTGACATTTTTATGGTCACTTTAGATAGCAATCATGATCCAAAATGTTACATTGATTTAGAAGCTTCAACACCCGTCACATGCAAAAGTGAACTTTTTGACACTAAAAAAACCTTCAAGAAGTTCATATGTTTGTAAACTTTTTGATACTCTGGTGGTTATATTCATCCAGTTAGTGAATTAGGCAAGGTTGTAGTTGAAACATTTATTGATGAAATAAAGAATTTGGACAATATTCTATTCTACATAGCAGATATGAACAAAAGTTTGTTATAGATCTGACAAATAGTCATAAAGGAATTTGTAGTCATGTTTGACAATAGAGGTTATGCAATCTTTGATAAGAGTGAACTATCTTATGTGACTACATGCTCACTTGACTCAAACATACTTAACATAATGCATCTCAATACCGTGTTACCTGAACAAGTCAACATGCTTGAAGATGCATTATTTGATTCTTCTAAAGTACAACTGTAACACAAATGGTTGACACACCTCAATCAAAGTACTTGATCTTATACACTTTGATCTTTGTGAAACTCTACAGGTAAGATCACTTGCATGCTTCTTTTATTTTATGACATTTGTTGATGACTATTCACACAAAGTCTTTGTGTATATTGTTCAACGTAAGATTGAAGCTTTTTCTAGATCTGTGGAATTTGAGAAGTAAGTACGAAAGCAGACAATATAGTTCATCAAAATCTGATGTTACTATAGTGAAGAATTCATATTTAGTGAATTAATACATCACTGCAAAGATAGTGATATTCTTTTACAATATACTCAAGCAAAAACATCTCAACAAAATAGAGTGTCAAAGCGGATAGATATATCTCTTTTTGATAAAGCTTGCTTTATGATGCTAAATTGTAAAGCTCTCAATTTTATATGGCTTGAAATAGTTAGTTAACAGCTTATGTGTTAAATAGATGTCTAACGCGCAAACGGAAAAATCATCCTTGAGCAAAAATTTTGTACAGCCAAGCCTAATCTATCACACTTACGAGTGTTTGGATGCAAAGTGTTTATACATGTGTTCAAGAAAGAACAAGTAAAACTAGATGTGATACTAGACAAAAAAAGTTTTTGTGGATTATGATCAACATATCAAAACTTTTGGATGTTACAGTCAAAGACGTAAAAAAATTATAATCACACGTGATGTTAAGTTTGATGAGACATATGTTTTGATTGAAGCAAAATTGGATGTTGATCCATTATATCTTAGTTTTTCTAATTGTGAGTGATTCGAACCACCGAGGCATGGAGAAACCATGTCATTACTTGATCACTTTAATCCACAAATAACTAAGAGTACTCGACCATACTCTCTAGAGTACCGGACATGAAGTTGTCACCTGTTCATCATCTTGATAGTACTGATTCAATTCTTGCTCCACAAGACTTATCAAGCGAAGATGAACACTGCTTTCCGTATAACAACAATTCGTCATCACTCATGAACAGTACATGATCATCATCTACTATTTCAACTGACACTTCATCAATATCAACTCACGTTTTGCCAATTATTCAATTAAAACCGATTTGAAAAAATCAATCATCCACATGGCTCTACGATTATTGGTGAGCTTATGTTACCAGTGACAGTGGAGGAGATGAAGGATTATACAACTTTGTTTTGGCTATTACCAACACAAGTGAACTTAACAACTTTTGGTAGACATCATTGCATGACGTTGGATGAACATCATGCAAAGTGAAATTGATTACATTAATAAAAATAGTACTTGGCTACTAGTGAATCTTCCAATTGGCAAGCATTGGCTACTAGTGAATCTTCCAATTGGCAAGCAAACTATCTATAAGATAAAACTGGCTTTGGGTGTATAGCCTTACAAGGTGAAGGCCCAATCTGTGACACGTGGCTTTGAACAGAAAGCCCGGATGGATTTTGAGAAAAAAATTGCACATGTAGTATAGTGTGGGATTGCTCGTGACATTGACTGCCCAAAGTAGATAGAAGACACTCCACTTGGACGTGAAAACAACCTTTTTGAATGTAGATTTACGAGAGGAGGTGTTCATGGAGCAAAGTGAGTAATTTCATATTCCTGGATAAGAGATCAAAGTTTAGAGGTTAATTCATGCATTATATGAACTTTGCCAAGCACCGCAAGCTTGATATGGAAAAATTGACACATACCTTAAGGGTCAGGGTTTGTACTGTGACTGTGCCAATTACAATTTGTATAATGTGAAAAATGGAACAAAAATTGTCATTCTCATACTCCATGTAGATGATATTTTGATAACCGATAATGATAGTAAGCACATGACCTGACTAGAAAATCAGTTACAAAATAGATTGAAAATGACAGATCTAGAGCTTTTTAGATTCTATTGAAGGATGAAATTTTTGTATCTTGAAGGAGTCATCTTCCTCATTCAACAGTAATATGTGTTGGACATGTTGAACAAATTTGACATGAGTGATTGTGCAACAACTTTGACGTCACTTCCAGTAGGTTTCAAGTTGGATGTTGAATTTGAATTGTAACTTGCTGATGTTACATGAAACCGCTGTATTGTTGACAAGCAATTGTATCTTGCAACAACTCAGATAGATATTGTGTACGCCACATGCATTTCAAGCCGTTACATGAGTAATCCATGCAAGATACATGTGAATGCTGCACGTGCTGTGTTTTATCAAGTTCACAACAAAGTTTGATATTTTGTACCAAAAAGAAGAATAATTTGTGGTGAGTGATTGAACCAATGCGGATTGGGTGGGAGATTGATAAAGTAGAATATCAACTTTTGGCTACTTGTTTCAACTCAGATTACCATTAATTACATATAGATTGTTGCTCTCTCATCTCTCATAGCCGAGTAAGGATCATTGTCTAAGGGTGTCAAGTAAGGGTATGGATGCAACAATTGTTCAAAGAAATAAGTCCATCTAATCAGGTTACAACTTTCATTTTTCTAAACAATGAGAGTTACATGAAGATTGCAGGATATATATATATATATATATACACACCGTGTATCACGCATAACTAAACATATAGAAGTTCATTATCATTTTGTGAGAAAGAATATCATATCTGGAAAAATTGGCATTCATCATGTTACCATCATGAACAACCTTGTTGATATTTTCACAAAATTGCTGGGAAAAGTGAAATTTCAAAGCTTTAGGCATAGTATAGGAGTTATGGGTATTGTATAATCCATGATGCTGTACAAATTAGAAACTCTAAAATGTAAGACATATGGGTCATTGTGAGGACAAATAGATACAATTCACGCTCGTCTTCAAAGAGTCTTTGTTTACTAGCTGAACACAATATAATAGCAAAAGAATGAGATGGGATTACATGCAGCATGTATGATCTTTGGCAATTGACATTGTGAAGTTGCTGACTCTAAATCAGAGGAGTAGCTATCCAAAATTGAAGGATAGGAGACCTCACCATCATAGTATATGTATGGTGCAAGAGCTTATGTTGATGTAATGCACCCGCCTTAGTAGTAGGTAGCGTTTATCTTTTTAGTTGTTGCTTCGACTATTGAAGTAACGGCACCCTTTGGATCTATAGCTTGCTCCTCACTATATTTTTAGTGTGTTTTGATAGTATTTATATGAGTGTATTTATATATTTCAATATTCAGCATCGCTTTTCATTGTGTAATCATCACAAAGTGCACGAGTCTTTTGCCGATCTGAAGTCCCCACGGCCAAGGAGTGCTGGACAGCCACCACTCATGCACGGTTACAAAAGAAACAGTCCGAGAACCCTGAGAGGTGCTCGACTGTCCTACAAACTGGACTTACCTCATGGATCCGAATTGCAAACTTCCATGCTCTGGACTTCGGATTTGGCATCCCATTTCGCGTCACCCCATGCTTTTTACACACAGGACTTACCTCATGGATCCGAATTGCAAACTTCTACCCTCTGGACTTCGGATTTGGCATCCCATTTTGCGTCACCCCATGCTTTCTACACAAGATTCCGGAATTCAGGGTGGCCTATCTTATGCCTACTCTCCCCCAGTCCGGAGCAGTTGCTGCCATGTTATTGCGTTTAAGCCCGAGGATGTCTGAGTTGATTCTTCAAGATTTATTGATAGTTAATATTGAAGTTTAAGCAAAGCTGCAGTTCTAGCTTTTTTTACTAAACTGAAAATCTTTCTTAAGTATAGGATAATATGATGAATTTATGTTCCTGTAATCCCGCACAAATACATAATGATATGTAGTTTAGCTGGACTAAAAAGTCAAGTACAGTACTCACAGTTCACACAATGAATCCAAAGATAAAAAATCCATAAATTTAGATGGCTTGAGCTATTCGTGAAACCACGAATAAACCATGAGGAGCGCAAGAATGAAATAAAAATAAAACGAACAATTATGATTAAATCACAGCTCATATTCGCCTGAGCCCAGACTCAGATTCCGCAGCCGGATTCGCCCGAAGATGAAGCCGAAAAGACCGCGGGCGATGCAGGTGAACACCGTTGGCCACGTCGGCCAAGATGGCCAAGTCATCTCGAACGCCGAGAGCCGAGCGATGGTGATTGGCTCAAGCTGGATAGCTTGAATGCGAGCTGGCGTGTCCTGATTGGGCGCAGCAATCCGCTGTTCCATCTGAAGGCCGCTCTGTCCCCAGCAGGAGCAGCTTCTTGCTCGTCGTCTTGCTCGTCGTCGGGGCTCGAGCGTCGCGCGCAGTCTCTTCCGCGCAGAAGGTCGACATTCGTCGCTGGATTGGAGCTCGATTTGAGCTCGATTTGCCTGCTTTCGATTCGAGGACGAGCGACCATGGCTTCGACGATGGTGGCTGCGGTTTGCGCCGTCCCAAGTTTCCGAATGGCGGGTCCTCTCGAGTCCAGCTTCGTGCGACGAACGTCCTCCGCTAACTCGGGTGAGTGCGCGCGATTGAATTGGTCGTCGTCGTCGTGGGGAGGGGATGGATTGCCATGGATCCCATGTCTCTTGCTCGTTCTTTTGCTTTCGTTTTGTGTTGCATTAGCACTTTTTGCGGGCCTAGAATTGTCCGATGGGGTCCATGTGCGCTTGGACGAAGCAGCGTCAGAGAATTCTCGCCTGTGGATACGGACGGAACCAAGCCATCCGTGTACTGAATGTGACGATGGTTTTTATGTTTTTTGGGGAAATTTTTGATCTTCTCTGCGAGATTTCATACAATTATAGGCTTGTGCGGAGATGGAGCATTAGTGGTCCAGTTCTTTCATGAAGCATTGCCAATTTTCAGTTGCCAATTGCTCACAGCAGAGTGCTCAGTTTTTTCCCCTGATTTCCGTTGTGTATTAGGATCCAAGCCATGTACTGAACTTACAGGAGGCCGGAGGAAATGTGCTGTTGTGACGAACGCGACGAACCAAGCGTCAACATCTCAGGTTGGCAGTCTCACCTTAGTCCGTAACCCCAATTTTGCACGTCGCTAGCAGTTGTACTGTCGAATGTGACAACCGTGAAAACATACGTCGATAACTGTAAGTGAGATGTGTCGTAGGATCAAGCTGAAATCGCTTGGAAGGATCTAGACGTCTAAGTTTCCACACTTATTTATCATGTACAACGATTTCGCAGGCATCTGAACAACGTGCCTCCAAAGAAAATGCAGGAGCTACAGGTTGAAAGGCGAAATGATCCCTTGCTCCTTCGAGTTGCTCGTGGTGAAGGTGAGGGGCCTTTGCTGTTGAATGTTAGGTGTAATATAGTTTCTTTTAACAGTGAGTTTTACGTCATTATTGCCAGTCACTTTTGTTGATGCCTTCAGAAGTACTTGGGATCCTCAATTTTCAATCCAAGTTCTGTGCTTTAGTCCTGTCCCAAGAGAATAGCTAATTTTTTGAGTGTGGCTGTGCAGATGCCGAGAGGACCCCAGTGTGGCTAATGCGTCAAGCGGGGCGTTACATGGCAGAGTTTCGAAAGTAAGCTCCTTGTCAATTCTCTGATTTGACAGAGAATCAGAGAATTGACATATATGTCCATATATGTCCTTCACAAATGACATGTCACTAATTTTCCCCCCCGTGTCACTACCGTGTGTTGTTGACAGGTATTCCCAAAGATACCCATTTAGACAAAGGTCGGAAACTCCGGAGATTGCCATAGAACTTTCGCTACAGCCTTGGCGGGCCTTTCAGCCAGACGGAGTGATCATGTTCTCAGACATTCTGACTCCTTTACCAGCACTTGGCATCGAGTTTGACATGGTTCCGGGCAAGGGACCACTTATTGCGTCCCCAATGCGGTCAATGGATGACATTCGTGCTCTGAGGTGCACTTTGCCCAACCAACACAGCTTTTTCTGCTCTTGAATACTCATGCCCCGTGTTTGCTCCTGACGATCGAGTATCATCTTTTGTTGCAATATAATGACCATTGTCTTCATGCAGGCCTCTGGATGATCCAGACAAGTCCTTGCCGTTCATACGAGAGATACTCTCTTCCTTGAGATCTGAAGTCGACGGCAAGTCCACCCTTCTGGGGTTTGTTGGCACACCATGGACCCTAGCTGCATACGCGATGGAGGGCTCTGCTGATAAGAACCTTCTGGCAACGAAGAGCATCATGTATAATGGTATCTAATATAACGCCACACTGCACCGCCTTTGCCCAGGCACATCTTCTTACACGTGATCGCAGAGTTCGTCCGCATGTTCGTAGGCTCTCCTTCTTTTGCTTCCCTCTCGTTAGAAGCTCTGACCCCACCTCGACTCGGACACATCCGAGGAAGCTGAAATTGCTAACGAGGCGTATGCGTTTTTACAGATCCAGCGATTTTGGAGGCCTTCCTGGATCACTTGACAGAAGCACTTATAACATATGTTTGTCACCAAATTGACTGTGGGGCTCAGGTAAGAGTCGATCTGCACCAAAGCAGTTGAGACTGTCTCCTGGTGTTTTGTATTGCTCCCAAGCTTCTGACGTCTTAGAACTACTTTCTTAGACCACATGTTTTGGTTACATGTCTGGCTATTGTATGCCCTTCTAGCTGGGTTAAGCTAGAAGAGCATACGATTGGGCGTAGAATTAAGCAAGTAGTTTGATAAAGTCTAGCCTCCCTGAGACTTGGAGAGGATTTATTAGACTTGCAGGAGCGAAGACTGATATTCTCTTGTCTGTATTAATCATTGCAGGTTGTCCAGCTTTTTGATTCCTGGGCGCACCATTTGTCCCCACAACAGTTCAAAAGATTCAGTTTGCCGTATTCAGAGGAGGTGATTCGCAGAGTCAAGGAGAGATATCCAGATACACCGCTTATCTTTCACGCAAATGGAGGAACTGGGAAGCTGCACCTTTTGGCTGAAGGCAGCAAAGCTGACGTAATTGGCCTGGACTGGGGTACTGAGATGCGAGAAGCTCGCTCTGTTCTTGGCAAGAAAAGAGTGCTTCAGGTAAATAATATGTGACGCTTCACACGCTGGGCAAGTGCCGGGATACAGATAGATTCTGTACCTTCTGTTGAGTTCGATGTCGGAAAAGGAAAATTGAATAGGCAATGTGTGTTTGGAAAATGTGGATGAATTTAGTTTGGACGTTTTTCTCTCAGTTCCGAATTCACGCTGATAGTTCGAAACCCCTTTGACTTCCAGGGAAATGTAGACCCAATGGTCTTCTTTGGATCTGACGATGCAATCCGAGATGCGGTCGAGCAGTGTTTGACTGAAGCCGGAGGTAACCAACATATTCTTAATGTCGGTCACGGGGTGATTCAAGGCACTCCCGAGGAGAAGGTGCTGCTGTTTTGCCAACTAGCTAGGGAGAGTGGAAATCGGCATAATGTACAAACATCTGCTTCCAAGCAAGAGCAGGTTTTGATAGGTTAAATCATTCTCCCTACTCAGTTCCACTGTAGATATGTCAAGGCGTATGGCAAGGGGCCCTATCTCACTTTGAAAAAACCAGCAAAAGCCTCGGCGGGATGATTTAGTTTTGGATTGCAGAGTTAGGACTTTGCGTAGTGGCGATTACGAAGTCAATGTGGCAGCCGTTCTTTATGCTCGCCAGTTTATACTGTTCAATGAATTTATGCTCTATTTTGCTCCACACTGCTGCTAGAGCAATAGCGACTTTTGTCAACCGTCCTATGAAACCTAGGTACAAAGTAAAATCATGACGTTGATGCTTACGGAGAATTGAATGTACCCTTGTGTCCACCTTATCTCTACCTGCGAACGGCTCTTTCAGTTGCAGCGACTTGCACTCACTTTGCTTCCATGGCTTCATAGTTGTATTCACATTTTGTGTCGATGTTATTTACAAGGTGGTTCGATCCAAAGCAGTGTCAATGTCACACGTAATGACAGTTGTTTGTTTATCCGCACGTAGTGCAAGCAAACACGAGATCTAAACTATGTGGTAAGGAATAACTTGCTTGCAATTGAAGCTGATAGGTCTCTTATATTCTGCAGAGAGCCATCCCCGAAATTGTTTTGATTTGATGTAAAAGTTATGATATAAACAACTAAAGTCTTTTTTACTACACCTGTGTAATGGTACATGGTAATATACACAACATGATTAATCTTATCTACGAATGAAATTGTATAGTCACAAGAAATTGTCCACCAAGTGCATAAATTATGGTGATGAGATTTCTCAAATATATGGTAGTGTAATGGAAATTTCAACAATTGGAGAAACCAATGATAATTCGATTTTGGTCTTTGGGAACCTTTTGTACTTTTCATAATGCAAGTGACTTGAGGTAAAAGTAAATTTCGTCCATAAGAGTATCGGATTATAACATGATAGTATGAGTAAATGTTATCATCCCATACTCTCTCACCTCGTACCTCAAGAGATCATTGATAATCTCAATGTAATTTATAATTTACATGTCTTGTTATCACGACAAAGTAAAGTTCCCAAGAGTATCCAGTAGAAATGAGACAATGAATAAAGAAGATGCATAGATTTTTTCGTGTCAAAAAGTTACTCTCCTATACTTTGGAAATCTAACAATAAATCACCAAAATTGTGAATGTTATACTCATATTCATTTCAAGCTTCATGTTGAACTTGAACAAACTCATGTATGAAATGATAGTTCTTTTTGACAGAATTGTCCTTGAAATGCACAAAACAATTGTGTGAACTCGCTATATTTCTTAACCTATTTCATAACCAAAAAGTTTAGATGCCACATCATCATGTACACTAGTCGTTCTTGTGAATTTATCAATTCAATGTAGTTAATATTCTTATTCTCTGGTAGCAACATTGTGAAATCCATGGATCTCGATTTGACTTTTATCTATTTTTTTCAAAATAGTTAATCACCACGATCATTGAAATGTATAATATTGTAACCTGATCTTCCAACATTTTTTGATTCCATATCCGGTCTTTGAAAATTATAAACAATAGTTGTTTTTGCAGACATTTTTTCATTGTGATTACTAGAGTTATACAAGGAGATTTGAAAGTTTCTCTTTATAGTAGAATTTACTCAAGATATGCGTTCAAGAGAGAATAATGTATTGGTGAAGAGATGTCAACCTTACATGATTATAGAGAAGTTATTCTTTCATAAGAAATTGACGGACTTATAGATCATGGAGTTGGAAGAGTAGAAGCATTACAACTCGTGAAGAAGTTTCATGAAGATGCAGTTGGTGGAGTACGTTTTGCCGGAAAGTTAATTGATTTCAAGATTCTTGATGCTAATCATCATTGAAAGATTATTTTCAAAGATTGTGTGAAATTTTACAAGAGTTGTTATATATGTGTAGCTTTTGCTAAAAAGTCCATGAAAAACACTCATTTGATTTCAATCCCAATTTTAGTAACTTTTGAGAAATGGGATATAGATTTTGTAATTATTTTGAATCTTATTGTTCTGAAAAATAAATTCATTGTGATAGTTACTAACTATTTCACTAGATGGATACAGACTAGATCACTCAAACTTTACTAGTGAAAAATAGGTCGATAAATTTCTGTATGAAAGTATCAGAACTAGGTTTGGTTGTCATTTGGAGTTAATATCCCATACAGTAGTGGAGTTTATGGAAAATGATAATCAAAACATGTTAGAATATTTTTTCCATCAAAGCTAGAGTGACCATTTACTCTTTATCCAATACTAATGGGTTGGTGAAAATAACAAACTACACACTTTGTATGATGTTAGTAAAGTATGCTGACATGGATGGAAGCAAGCAAAATAAGTACAGGTGACTACATGCGATCTTGTGGGAGTATCAGATAACATGGAAGACATCTACTGGGTGTTTGACTTTTCGGATGATGTATGAAATTGAGTCAAAATTTCCCATACAGTTTGACTTCACAACCTTCATGACAATCTAGCAAAAGATGAAGAAGACAAATGGAATGAATACTGTGAAGTTTCGCCAGCAACATTTGATGCAGTTGGAAAAAGCTTGAGCTATGGCCATGGAACAAGTGGAGCAAGCTCAACAATTGCAAAAGAAGTAGCGCGATAAGCGAATCAAAACTTACAATTTGAAATCATTCAAGAAAGTTGATTGGGTGATGCTCTTTGATGCAATTAGATACAAAAGTGTTAGAAAAACGTTTCTTCTTAAATATTTTGGACCTTTCACATCTGAAAAGTTGTGGTTAAATTTCACTTATGACATCAAGGAGTTAGGATTACATCATTTTTATCGAATCAATCACAACAAGTTGAAATCTTTCCATCAAAGATCAGATTTTTTTCACGTTAAGTACGTAGTGAAATTTTGGTCCATGAGTAAATGTAAAATTGTGATTGTAAACTAGGATTAAAGCTAGCCAAAAAGATGATCATGGTTAGGTTGGGTTTTACTAAATCTAACTAGTTAAGATTAAATCTACCTAGTTATGACTAAGTTGATCAAGTTATGGCTATACTTAACTTTAATGTCTATAATTTACGGAATAACTACAGAAATTTTAGAAGATTTGAATGAGCATTTCTATTTTGTTTTGTATAAAATTGCAGATTCCAAAGAAATTTTTTTTGACTTCATGTTTAGTTTTGATTGGTTTGACTAAGTAATTGAACTTCCTTGGTTAAACTAAATCTAATGATAATTTAGTGCCAAATTGATGTTCTAGAAGTTAGAAAGTCACATATGGCATGTCGTCATCTCAATCTAAAGACCATCAAACATCTAGAAGGTTTAGGAGATCAATGACATATTGCTATTATGATAACTCTTAGGTCTCGGCTAACTCTAGTTAGCTTAACCTTAGTTAGGGACTAGCTTATGTTAGGATTGCTTGCTATATAGGTGAGCTTGTGTGAGCTCACTAGCAGAGAGATAGAACACTCATTGTGTATGAGTGCTTCAGGCAGAACGTGAGAGCTTGGAGAGTAGAGAATAAGTACAGCTATGGCTTAGAGTCTTAGTAAAGTTCTCATTGTTCCCGTGGACGTAGCCTCAGTGTAGGTGAACCACGTTATTTCTTGGTGTCGACTTCTCTTGTGCGTGTATGTCTCACTGTGTATGCCTTCTATGTTTAACAAATGGTATCAGAGCCCACTTGGGAGGTGCCGGGTTTGTGAGTGCTCGTGCGAGCAGTTAGTTGACGATTTGGTATTTTCTCAGAGTTTCGTCGCGTGGATGTGGGAAAATCTTAGATAATCCGAGAGCTTAAGTCAAGAGCGTTCTAACGGTAACTGAACAAGATTGATCGGAGCTTGGAGCACGGAGTAATTGAGATTAGGGTTTTTTTGACGGTTTCATGGTCAAATGTTTCAAGATTTTACTTACGGTTTTTTCTATGAAATTTCCGAAATTGATTTCTTGATTTCGAAGGAGTCACGGTGAGTGTGAACCTGCAAGGTTGTGTGCAAAACGTAGATCAAGGCAAGCTGGTCGCATTGGCGCAAGATTTGTCAAGTTTCGACTTGCGGGTGGAAACTTACGAGCCAAAAACAATTTCTGGAGTTTCCGCCGGCTATGGACATTTAGGGCCGGCCTCAAACTCATTTTTCGTTGTGACGTTTGTTTGGTGAATAAAAGCGAGACGAAAAGTAGAGCAACGGAGACATCGAGCCGGCGCGGTCAATTTGCAACCAAAATTGCAGTCTAGGGCGAACGGGGATCGAGATGCGAGTCGAGGTACTTTTTTGACGGGCCTGAAATCCCTAACAGGCCTGTCGTTGTGACAAAAAGCAGATTCGGCTACATTCTCGAAGTTCTTATTCAGTCTTTGGAGAAAACCCTAAACCTTTTTCTTTGGAGAAAAGTAGATTCCTCCCCTTTTTCACTTCGTTTTACTTTACCTTGTAATACCTAAACCCTAAATTCGGGAAAATTTCCGAATTTAGACCCTGACACTGTCTGGGTACTCTAACAAGGTCTGTTCCCTATGCGACAGGGCCTTACGCCCCCTGTCACGGAATCTTTCAAAAATATTCCAAAAACAAAACGTCATATTCTTGCCATTGACGGTGGATTCGGAGGGGCAAACGGTGCCCGTTTTTGGCCAAACTTTTTTGTGCGCATTCGTGACGAAGTTAGCTACGCGTATGTCCCAGCCATCTCCGAAGGTCCTTGGAGAAAATTATTTCCACTTTCAAGATTCTCCCGGGAGGTCAAAACGGGGGAGAAAATTACTTTTTGGCAGTTTTGACCCCTCCACTTTGACGGTAAATAATTTTTCACTCGGAGGTCGGTTTTGCAAATTGTTTGAAGTTTCGGAAAGCTTATCTTGTAAGCAATGTTCAAGTGGTCCTGAATTTTCTCTTGGAGTTTATTTTTGAGGGTAATTTTCCACATTTACTCGTATATACCAAGGGGGAGATAGTTCAAAGAACCATATTGGCATTGAAATAGCATTGTAGGAAGGCCAAGAGACCAAGCGAGGCATCATGGGAACAATGAAGGTCGATGGCACCAAGTTTGAGATTGCCAAGTATGATGGACGTACGGACTACTTGCTGTGGGAATGACAAGTTAAGGGCATGTTGAAAGCTACGGGTTCTGGTAAGCTTTTGAAGATGAAGCCGGAAGATGTGCATGGAGAAGACTAGAACGATATGCAAGAGATGGCGGTAAATACAATCATGCTCTATCTTCAACCCCATGTGATACGGCAGCTTGAAGAGTATGGGGATTGTTTGTCGTTGTTCGAGGCTCTCCAGCGGAAGTACCATCAAAAAGAGTTGTTCAATCGACTCTACACATCTTTGAAGCTGATAAGTTTCAAGATGAA